ATCTCAAGCCTGTAATCTAAGCAACTTTGGAATAGGAATGCACGAGACGGGCGGAAATCACCAAAGGTCAGGAGATCGAGACCATCCTGGCTAACACGGTGAAACCCCGTCTCAACTAAAAATAAAAAAAAATTAGCCAGGCGCAGTGGCGGGCGCCTGTAGTCCCAGCTACATGGGAGGCTGAGGCAGGAGAATGGCGTGAACCCGTGAGGCGGAGCTTGCAGTGAGATCCGGCCTGCACTCCAGCCTGGGTGACAGAGCGAGACTCCGTCTCAAAAAAAAAAAAAAAAAAAAAAAAAAAAAAGCAAAGCAGGGTATAGGACCCAACCCAGAAATACTGAATATCCAGTATTCAGTATTTTGGATATTCAAATACTGGATATTCAGTATTTCTGGGTTGGGCCTGATACAGACACGTAACCTGAATTTTAAAATATTTACTGCTTATTTGTAGAAATATCAAAGTGGGAGAACCACTTTTCTAATTAACACTAAAATTGGTAAAATCAAAAATGTGTGCATAGGTTTGTAATTACCTTAACAGTAATTACATTATATGCAAATGGATTAAACACTTCAGTCAAAAGGCAGAGATTTATAGAATGGATAAAAATGTTATTCACCAGGTGCAGTGGCTCATGCCTGTAATCCTAACACTTTGGGAGGTCAAGGCAGGAGGACTGCTTGAGCCCAGGAGTTTGCGAATAGCCTGGGCAACAAGGTGAGACCCCGTCTCTACAAAAAATTTTTAAAAATTAGCCAGGCATGGTGGCTGGCCCCTGTGGTTCCAGCTACTCAGAAGGCTGAGGTGGGAGGATTGCTTGAGCCTAGGTGATCTAGGCTGCAGTGCGCTGTGATTGTGCCACTGCACTCCATCCTGGGCAGCAGAGAGGCCCTGTCTCAAAAAAAAAAAAAAAAAAAGGAAAAATGCTATCCAAGCGCGGGATATAAGTGACACACTGTAGATTTAAAGACACAATTAGGTTGGCAATAAAAGGATGCAACGGGAATATATGCTGCAGTTACCCAAAGGGAACTAAAGCTGCTCCAATAATTTCAGACAAAATACACCATAAGACAAAAACTGTTAAGAGAGACAAAGAAGGACATTTTGTATTGATAAAAGGGTCAATCTATCAAGAAGATACAACATTTATAAGTATGTATGTAACCTAGCAAAAGAGGGCCAGATAGTTGAGACACAAACTGACAGAATTGAAGGGGAAAATAGAACAATGTAACAATAGGCCGGGCACGGTGGCTCACACCTGTAATCCCAGGACTTTGGGAGGATAAGTCCCACGGATCACGAGTTCAGGAGATGGAGACCATCCTGGCTAACACGATGAAACCCTGTCTCTATTAAAAGTACACACAAAAAATTAGCCGGACGTGGTGGCGGGTGCCTGTAGTCCCAGCTACTCGGAGGCTGAGGCAGGAGAATGGTGTGAACCTGGGAAGCAGAGCTTGCAGTGAGTGGAGATCACACCACTGCACTCTATCCTGGGCAACAGAGCAAGATGCCATCTCAAAAAAAAAAAAAAAGAACAACGTAACAATAATACAGATTTCAATACTTTCCATTCAATAATGGATACAACAACTAGAGAGAAGATCAGCAATGAATTACAAGACTTAAGCAACAATATAAATCAACTGAACCTAACAGATATTTATGAAACACTCTACCACCCAACAATAGAGTAAACACTTTTTGAAGTCAACATGGAACATTATCCAGATACCCTATATTAGGCCATAAAACAAGAATTAATATAATTAAAAGGATTTAAACCATGCAGAGTATATTCTCCAACTAGGATGGACTCAAATTACAAAGCAACAATATAAGGAAATTTGAAGAATCCAATATGTAGAGACTGAATAACACACGTGTAACCAATCCATGAGTCAAAGGGGATGTTAGAAAATTAAAACACAACAGGCTGGCGCGGTGGCTCACGCCTGTAATCCCAGCACTTTGGAAGGCCGAGGCGGGCGGACCACCTGAGGTTGGGAGTTCGAGACCAGACTGACCAACATGTAGAAACCCTGTCTCTACTAAAAATACAAAATTAGCCAGGCATAGTGGTCCATGCCTGTAATCCCAGCTACTTGGGAAGGCTGAGGCAGGAGAATCGCTTGAACCTGGGAGGCGGAGCTTGCAGTGGGCCGAGATCGTGCCATTGTACTCCAGCCTGGGCAACTAGAGCAAAACTCCATCTCAAAAAAACAAACAAACAAACAAGCAAAGAAAACACAACATATCAAAATTTACACAATGCCGATAAAGTAGTGGTTAAAAGAAAATTTATAGCTTCTAATTCTTATAATAGAAGAAAGGTCTCAATCAATAATCTAGGTCTTTATCATAAAAATCAGGAAAAAGAGTAACCCAGACCAAAGATAAGCAGAATAAGGAAATAATAAATGATGCCATTGTTGGACCTCAAAAACATGCTAAATGAAAAGAGTCAGATCACTTATATATGTCCAGAAAAGCCAAATTCACTAAGAGAGTAGATTAATTGTTGCCTAGGGCTATCAATGGGTATGAACTGGAAATGGGTTGAGAGATCTTAAGGTGAGGGGTAGGGATGAAAATGTTCTAACACTTATTTATGATGATGATGGTTGCACACACTTGGTAGTTACTAAATGTCACTGCATTACACATTTGTTTAAGGGTGATTTTGAGGGCATCCAAAATCACAAAAAAACATTTTTTAAGAAGCCATAAACACAGAAGGACTGGGAAACCATAAAAGAGTCACATACAAAAAAATGTGGGATGTTATAATATGGATAGATGAATAATAAAAGAAAAGCAGATCCCAGAAAACTGAAGTTTAACGCAGCAGAGGGTAGAATCTGAGAACTGATTCAGTTTCTACTTGCAGAACCTCCAAAGCTCAGCAATTGGCAGCACCAGATACCTCTGGAGGTGAAGGGGCAGTTAAAATAAGGAGGATTGGTTAAATGTCCATAGGCAGTTCTCCTTGGTCTGGGCAGAAGTTTGTTTAGTATGTGGAAAAGGTATAACAAAGGGTCTCTGGCCACAGAGACGTCAGGTGGATCACAAGGAAGTTGTGGCAACAGACACAGAGGATCATACGAATGAATGGAAAACCAATGACAGATTTCCCAGACTCCCTCCACTCAGCTCCCAGAACACTCACAGAATGGCTTTCCCTTCCATGTGTGAACCTTCTCTGGGAAAATACAAGCCACTCAAAGAAGAAAAACCAATAGATAACTGAACTCAGATGTTCCCCAACCAATTACCTAGAAAATCACCCTGCAATGGGGGATCAACAAGCCCTACTCAGGCACTTAGGGCTACCAATCAACTTTTTATCTCTCACTAAAAAACAAGAATACTGTGGCAGCCACTCTCTAAAATGACCCTAATTAATAATTGTTGGTCCCTAAAAAGAACACCCTTGTGTAGTCCCTACTACCCTGAACAGGGCTAACTGCTGTAAGGATAGTACCTATCTGAAGAATAGAACTGCAGACACAGAGGTGAGGAAAGAATTTTTAAAATTTGTAAAATTGAGACCTACATTCCAGATTGAAAGGGCTCACCATTGTGAAATTTTAGAACACCAGGAATGAGAAGATGCTATAAAATTCCAGAGAAGAAAAATAAAAAACAAAGCAATAATAAAGGCCTTATGAAAAGATCAAAAATTGGAATTACTTTGGACTTCCCAATAGCTGTTCTAGAAAATCAAGAAAATGAAGCAATGCCTTCAAAATCTAAAGGAAGCTAACTTTTAACTTAGAATTTGATATCCTGGCAAATTAAAAAACATAAAATGAAAATTGCAGGGGCCGGACATGGTGGCTCATGCCTGTAATCCCAGCACTTTGGGAGGCTGAGGTGGGTGGATTGCTTGAGCCTAGGAGTTTGAGACCAGCCTGGGCAACATGGTGAAACCCCGTTTCTACAACAAATACAAAAATTAGCTGGATGTGGTGCGCACACTGGTAGTCCCAGCTACTCGGGAGGCTGAGACAGGAGAATCGCTTGAACCTGGGAGGTGGAGGATGAAGGGAGCCGAGATCGTGCCATTGCACTCCAGCCTGGGCGACAACAGTGAAACTCCATCTCAAAAAAAAAAAAAAAAAAAATTAGCCAGGTGTGGTGGTGCATGCCTGTAGTACTAGCTACTTGGGAGGATGAGAAATAGGATGATCACTTGAGTCTAGGAGGTCGAGGCTGCAGTGAACCAAGATGGTACCACAGCACTCCAGGCTGGGCAACAGAGCAAGACCCTGTCTCAAAATAAATAAATAAATAAATAAATCTACCTCCTATAAACCCATTTGGAAGGAAATTGCCCTAGGATTCATTACACCATAAGAACAGAATATAGTAACAAAGAACATTCCAGATACAGGAAAATGGGTGATCCAACACAAGAGAGAGGCTAAAGGAACCTGCAGAATGATGGTGTCTTATTCAACCTGGGCTGACATAATAACAATGCTGTGTGCCGGGTGGCCTAAACAACAGAAATTGATTTTCTCAGCTCTGGAGAGTTGGAATCTGAGTTCCACGTCCCAGCAAGGTAGGTCTGTGGTGAGAGCTTTCTTCCTAACTTGAGATGGCAGCCCTCTTACTTTTTCTTCACATGGCACAAGGGGGTGGGGGTAGGACAGGACAGAGTGACAGCGAGAGCGAGAATGCGTATATGAGCCTGGGCCTGCCCGAGAGAGAGTGATCTCCAGTACTTCTTCTTTGAAAGGTATCATGTCATGAGGGCCCTAACCTCATGATCTCATTTAACCTTAATTAATTCACAAGGCCCCATCTCCAAATGTCATCACATTAGAGATGAGGCTTCATCATTCAAATTATGGGGAGAACCCAAACATTCAGTCCATCATATATTGGTCAAGGGAGATGCCTGGATGATAAGCATGGAAGTAGCCACCTTCAGTAAGATGAAATTGACAGAACATCTCAAGTATATGCATTGAAGGTCTTAAGTTTGAAGCTTGGAAAAATGTTGAGGTTGAATTAGAGATCAGTACATGAAAGGAAAAACAATAATAATAATAACAAAAGCTAAAAAACAATAAATACAGGACACATTTTGAGTGGACACATTTCGCAAGATACAGCTCACCTCTGGTCATAATCATAGTAAATACCAAAGACTTATGTTACTAAGTTTATGATATAATAATTACTGGGAAAATGAGATATAGAAGGGTACACATGTGTGGTGAGAGCAGGAGATAGAATTACATACTCATCTTCCACTGGACAGAGGCAACAGAAAATGGCCAAACCTGAAAAATCATAGAGCAACAATGCAACTATGAGGTTAAGATGTGGAGATAAACATCAAAACAACCAACTTAAAAAGCTCAACTATTTGGAAGAGTGATTTTTTTTTTTCCTTCAAGACGGAGTCTCACTCTGTCTTCAGGCTGGAGTGCAGTGGTGTGATCTCAATTTACTGCCACCTCTGACTCCCTGGTTCAAGCAATTCTCCTGCCTCAGCCTCCTGAGTAGCTGGGATTACAGTCACGCGCCACCATGCTCAGCTAATTTTTGTATTTTTGGTAGAGACGGGGTTTCATCATGTTGGCCAGGATGGTCTCGATCTCCTGATCTCATGATCCACCCACCTCAGCCTCCCAATGGAAGAGTGATTTCATACCCTCTCGAATGTGTTAACTGCTATGGAGGGGCAGGGCATGTGCACAGAGAGTTCTACCTGTGTAGACCCATCCTCCCATGGTAGCTTCTCTCAGTTACATGGACAAAGCACCACTGATAGAGAGCACGCAACAGAGGCAAGACCCAAAAAGACCCGTCCTCTAATGCATCCCTCACTCCCATGGCATTTCCACCACAGAAAGTCCTTTCTATTACAGGAATAATACCAAAGAGTTTACTCCCAAGGCAGTGACAGTCCTGAGTAAAGACTGCTGGACTTGGAATCAGGAACTCTACAGTCAAAGCTTTGCTCTACATCTTCTCTGGGACCACTTACTGACATGCACACATCTGTGTCCTCATCTAGAGGACGGAGAACATGCCGTGGCTATAAGAGGGCTGTGGTGAGAACAAGTTAAATAAAAGAAGTAAACATGCTTTGTAAATTGCGGCGTGTAAGTTGCATGGATTAGGGAAACTCTCCCACACTCACACTGCAAAACTCTGACTTCTTTCCCCAGTGGCATCCAAAGTCCTTTAGTTGGCGCATGAGCCAGAAATTCCCTGGCATGTTCATTGCCTGGTACACCTGGTATGCAATCTTCTGGCTTAGCCTCATCTTCCTAAACAAAGGGAACAAGGTGTAAACAGCATGGCAAGAGAGTGCTGGGATTCTCTCCTGCTTCCCTTGGAGTCACCCTCATCTGGCTTTTTCCTGGGCTGTGGGTGCCAACGTCATCTTAATTACCCCTCAAAACTAGAAAGAAAGACAGTTACACTTGATCAAAAAAACAGGAAACAAATGTACCAGAAGAACTATACCAAAAACAGTGTAGCTGTTCTTAGAGAAGTTACTGGTGAAGCAGAAAAAATCTGTCCTTATATAGCAATGACTGGTGAGCTCCAAATTTTGATGTAAATTAGATTCTAAGGTTTTTTTAAAAAAGGTTTCACTACCTCAAAATGTAGAATGAAGTAAGATATATAAATTAAAGTAAACCAGGGTTCCTGGAATAACAGAAAGGGCATGTTAGGCTAGAATAGCTTATTATACCCTGAAGGCCCCTGTCATATTTTACAGTCACAAGCATGCTGTAATTTTTTCCAAGTTTCCATGAATATTAAACTTCAATAGAAGGACGGTTTTTAAGAATTTTTTTTTTTTTTTGAGACAGAGTCTTGCTCTGTTATTCAGGCTGGAGTGCAGCAGTGCAATGTTGGCCCACTGCAACCTCCACCTCCCAGGTTCAAGAGATTCTTGTGCCTTAGACTCCTGAGTAGCTGGAATTACAGATGTGTACTACCACGTCCAGCTAATTTTTTTTTTTTTTTGTTTTTTTAATAGAGACAGTGTTTTCCCATGTTGCCCAGGCTGATTTTGAACTCCTGACCTCAGGTGGTCCACCTGCCTCAGCCTCCCAAAGTACTGGGATTATAGGCATGTGCCACTGCGCTTGGCAAAGAATCTTTCTTCATTGAGAGTTATGAAACAGCAAGTTTTCTTTGCTGTGGCCTGGCACTCTAAGTCTCCCTCGTGCGCACACACCCTGGTGCTGTGGCCAGGGAGCTGCAGGAAGGATGCCTGCATTGGGGAGCGGGACTGGATGAGCTGTCGGGTCTCCTCGGACTTTACTGCTCTCTGAGCTGCTGATACTCAAGAAACCAACACAGGATGGACTGAGGGACTGAGCCAAGCACGGCTGACAAGAAAAGGAGGCAGCTGAGCTTAAAGATGCTGTCTCCAGTCAGAGAGAAGGGGGCCAGGGCCAAGGAACCCATGTGGGCCTGCATTAGTTCCTCAGGGAAGGGAAACATGGCTGATGAAATTTCCACAAAGGCAGAGATTTGTGACAACACTAAAAATTATGACCCCTTAGTCATCTGCAGGAAAGAAACAGACTTTTCATAAAAGGGTATTTAAATGTCATGCAACCATTTTTCATAACAAGTTACTGAGTCTGTAAGTATGTCTAGTGGAATAACCAAGAGTACAAACTTCACACTAACCTCGATAAGCCCAGGAGGAGGTTTTTCATAACTGGAAAACAAAAAACAAAACCATCAACCATTTTAATGGGAACGTAACATACTTTTATGAACAAAAGGCAGCAGCCAGGTCAGAATAAAAAGGATATTCTTAGTGAAAATTCAAAACTACATTTACTATATTATATCTAAAACAGTTAATAAAATATGCTCAGCATTCCGGATCCCATATAAATAAACTGATGAGATAACACATCCTGCAGAGATCCAGAAATTATGTTCATTGAAATAGCTAATGTCTCTCAGCACAATGATCTTTCTTGGAGGAGAAAGGAAAGCAAGAGGTTGCAGGGAGAATATGAGGTGAGAAGACCGTGGGTACTCTGGTTCCAAAACATCACTGTGTTTTTCTCAGGTTACTGACCTAGCATAACATCCACGTACTCAACAGTGAACAGGCTCCTGGGGGAAACGGGTGCAATCTGTTCCAGCGCAGTGTGGGTGGCACAGTGGAGGATGCACAGAGCTACATGGACAGGCCTGTCCCAGAGGCACCCTCACCCATGGGCCTGCAACACCAGCTCCAATTCCGCCCGCTCGCCCGCCTGCCTACCAGATTTACAGATGATGAGGCCAGGACACAGTACCCCAAAAATGACTGCAGAGCACCAGAATATGCCACCCTAAAATATGCCTCATTGGCATATTAACTATTTCAAGCCGATTACTTTGAGAAACTGTAGACAAGGAGTAGCCCTGAAAAGCTGCCATTTTGTAAGAGAAATTTACATTGATTATATAAAGGAAATTTACATTAAAATAAAGGAGTTTGCATCAGGAAAAGAGCTGCTCCTAGACAAATTTTATTACATGAAAGACTTTTATCTACATAAAAAGGCAAACTTTATTCACCATGTTTCCTCCCCCATCCTCCCATAGTTTATCTCTACCCCTCCTCCAGAAGCCCCAATCCCCTGTTCCTTTCCGCAGCTGAGGATGCTACATAAGGTTCCTCTGGTGCTTCTTTGAGTCTCATATTTTTGGGGGACTCCCATGCATAGACATGTAATTAAGATTTTTTTTTCCTCCTGTTAATCCGTCTTATGTTCATTTAATTGGTGGCCTAGAAAAATAATTTAGAAGGGTGTAGGGAAGCCATTTTTCCTTCCCCCACACAGACAGGTATTACCTGGGAAGAGCAGAACGCTTCTCCTCCCTGTGCTAGGCAGCACCTGCCACCAGAGACTGGCCAGGCCTTCCTTATTTCCATCCAGGGACTGAACCTGAGGGAGACCCAGAATGCTGAGCATGCAAAATCTGTATTTGGGACAGGCGGGGAGATGGGAAGGAAATTCTGCAGGCGAGGTTCGTGCACTCCAAAGAGCAACTCAGATTCTTAGAGGGATTCGCACCTCCCCAACAAAAGTAAGACAAATATTAGTAGCTCAGATCTGTGCCTTAACCCTCTAAACCTACAAGGAAGTACTCATTTTAATACGTCAGAATGGCTGCAAACTATAGGAACACTTAATGACTTAATGTTCTCTTCATCTTGACCCATTCCTTATGAACTGATTTTAGAGACCCTTTTGGAACACAGTAAATATTGGAGGAGGGAGGGATTAGGGAGAACAGACTAAGGAAAAAGTGAAATGCTTTCCTTTCCATTCGCCTCCAAGGTGTCAGAGAAAAGGACTTTGCCAGAGTACGGAGGAGAAATGGCACAGTTCGCTACAGCAAGAAAGATTTCCCTTTGGCTTCATCTGTGGACACTGTCAAAGGACTCCTCTCACCCTCACTATCACTGATCCATGGACTAGGAGAACCTACTCCACAAAGATTACATAGTAAACAACTGGGTAGTAGCGGAATTAGCTTTTTAGGTATGATACAGTGCTTTTCCAAAGTAAATACTTAAAATATTTTCTAATAGCAAGCTATGGTGTGTCATAAGCAAGAAAAGTGGACGATACAGTCCACCTGCAGCCATCCTTTAGAGGTGTTAATACTATGCCTTGGCCGCTCACGCCTGTCATTCCAACACTTTGGGAAGCTGAGGCAAGAGGATCACTTGAGGCTAGGAGTTGGCCATCAGCCTGGGCAACATAGCAAGACCTCATCTCTACAAAATAAAAAATTAAAGAGCCGGGTGCAGTGGCTCACACCTGTAATCCCAGCACTTTGGGAGGCTGAGGCAGGTGGATCACAAGGTCAGGAGATCAAGACCATCCTGGCTAACATGGTGAAACTCCGTCTCTACTGAAAATACAAAAAATTAGCTGGGCGTGGTGGCGGGCACCTGTAGTCCCAGTTACTCGGGAGGCTGAGGCAGGAGAATGGCATGAACCTGGGAGGCAGAGCTTGCAGTGAGCCGAGATCGCACCACTGCACTCCAGCCTGGGCGACAGAGCAAGACTCTGTTTCAAAAATAATAAATAAATAAAAAAAAATTAAAAAATATTATGCCTTATGCACAGAGGCCTAAGAAAGTTTGGAAGGGAGGTGGTAAAGTCTATGAAAATATTCAATAATCCAACAAATAATTATTTTTGCCACAGGAGCTGAACAAACAACATATGGCCAAACTAAGTTCCAAATTCCTGAAAAATATGTAACTATTTTGCCTAGATGGAAAAGGAATACAATAGAACTGCACATTCTGAATTCTATTATTATTTGCAATGGCATTTCCTAAATAGTCCATTTTACAACTGTTCCCACCAGTTTAAGGCGGGGCTGATGCTTTTTCCCCAGGGCTAAACAACTCATTAGTTTATGTAGCAGATTAAGATATTTCCAAGGTTTAAAACAATATTCAGCCAGGCATGGTGGCTCACATCTGTAATCCCAGCACTTTGGGAGGCTGAGGTGCATGGATCACTTGAGGTCAGGACTTAAAAGACTAGCCTGGCCAACATGGTGAAATCCCATCTTTACTAAAAATACAAAAATTAGCTGGGTATGGTGGCACACACCTGTAGTGCCAGCTACCAGGGAGGCTGAGGCTGGAGAATCGCTTGAACCTGGGACATGGAGGTTGCAGTGAGCTGAGGTCACACCACTGCACTCCATCCTGGGCAACAGAGCAAGACTCCACCTCAAAGAAGGAGGAAGAAGGGAGGGAGGGGGGAAGGGAAAGAAAAGAAAAGGGCAAGAAACATGAATTTTA